ACTGCGAAAATCGGCGCCGGCTATGACAGAAGAGTCGCCACCGTGCGTTAATTATCCCACAAGAGGGAAAGGAAACGCTCAGAGTAAACCTAACGCAAAGAGGGAAAGGAATGGTCATCGCAACCAAATCCTGGATTCGGGAGTCGGTTACGCAAGGGGAAGGTATTAGCACCCCTCACGTCCGTCGTACTCGACGGGATCCACGCTTGTTTTATATCTACGGGTATGTTTATCTATCTACTCTAAAGGTCTGGGTTAAAAAGAAAATGAAAATGACTCGGCAAAGTATCACACTTTATGCCTACGTATTCCCGCCAGGAACGAGAAATCAGAGTCAACGTAGTTCGCCTAACTACGGATTATGGGGGGAAGGTTGCTCGCCGAGATGTCGCATCTCGTGCCTACGTACTTTCATACAAAATGAAAGATCAGAGCAAACGTAGTTCGAGCTACGGAAGACACAAGCTTGTCTGACAGTTTTTTATCTCCTTAAGAAAGGGTTTTCTGGATTAAGGGTCCAAGAGGACAAAAACAGAGTTTGAATGTTTGTTTGAGTCTTTTACGAAAGAAATATTTTTTAGGATGTTCGCAATCTCAGTCGCACTAGAGACTATGACCCAGGAGTGAACGCTTCGTATGTCACCCAAAGGGTACCACACTAACATTCAGATTACTGGAGAGAGACCCTCCACCAACCTTTTCCAGATAGCTTAAGGCTCGTAACGTACGACTTCAATTAACCTTATTATTGTATTTTTGAATTGTTTTGAGATGAGAAGAGAAAAACGCCCTAAAACTATGGTTGAAAGGAAATCTACCTACAGTTATCATGCATGGTTTAAAAAAACTAATGTCTATCATAATTCCCTCTTGTAGAGAGGAAAGCAGAGATCCTAGGGGAAACAGCAAAAGAAAGCAAGCAGTAAACAGTAAACAGTAAAATGCATGCTATGCAACAGTACAAGTGAGGCAAGGGAGTCCGACTCAACCTCAAACCTAAGAAAACAACAGGCAAGAGGAGACAAGCTCCACCTCAAACCTAGAGGTAAGCAACACAAGCAAACAGACAATACAAAAAAATAAAAGAAGCAGAGGGAGCAGCCCAAGCAGCAACAACAGTCTTCAGTAACTTAAATACTCAACAACAGCTCTAAGCAGCAAATCCTCCTGACAGCAAGGTTGACAGCAAAATGACTTCATCTTCAAGCTAGCTTCTATTTTCAAGCTTCTTCAAACTTCATCTTCAAGCTCTAGCAAGCACACTCCAAGCAGAGAATTAATCACCAAGATAAAGGTTGCAATGTTGAGAACCAAATGAAAACCAAAGGAAATCATCAAGTACCAACATTGAAATGGAAAGGCATCCTCAATGTTCTACTCAACTATGGGCATACCACACATCCCTACAAAGGAGAGATGGAGTTTCCCTAGGAGGACTTTACATCACTGGATAGAATAGAAGCACACAATGCATTCTATGTTTGATGAAAGAATCAAAACTAGTCCTAATAGCTCTTCCTAAAACCCTAATTTTCTAAGCTCCTAAAAAGATCCTAAAAGAAAAGAAAGTTTCAACTCCAAGCTCCAATCTTCAAGCCACAACAGCTACACCGAGTCCAGAAGACCTCCCAAGAAGGAATCCAAGAAACTTCAGCCCCAAAGTCACCAACAAGACCAAGCAAGCAAAGGCACACAAGATAGAACACCACAAGCACAAGAAACTTGCAAAATACAACTAAAATAGAAAAAAAAGTTGTAAAAATCTAATAAATTTTCTAGGGGAACATACATGTTTGAACAATCTAGGGCTAAAATATTAAAGCCTAATTCAACTTCTAAGTCATCTAAATAATTTCTAATTTGAAGGGTATCAAGGTGATCCACAAGTTTGGGAAGACTCTAATCTCAACACCTAAAACAGAACCTAAATTTGTTCTAAAAATATAACAAAAATTCAAAGGGAACATGCACATCTAACCTACAACATACTCAAAAATCAAATCCAGATTCAACACCAATTAAGAGAACAAAATTCAACAAAACAGATGATCAAATATGCAAATATTAAAGAATTAAACAAAATAAGAAAAATCAAATTAAATTGAAAAATGCATGAAAATGCATTTTATTGATTTCAAAAAATCACAAATTCTCTCAAGATCATGGAGGTAGTTTTAAAATAATTTTTGGGTCAAGAATGAATTTATTGTGATTTTTAGAATCAATAATGCATTAAAAATAATAAAAATGAAATAAACTAAATTCAAATGCTGAGAAAAAACGCACGCCCTTGGATCAGTTGACAAGTCAAAGCATCCAAAGATACACACGCTGCCAGCACATTATTTAAACACCTGCGTTTTGGTTCCAAAATCTCACTTCTCAGATTATAACACATCTGTTGGATCTGGTGGTCAGTCAAGGTCAAAGGCATGATCTAACGGATCTGGATTCATCTTCTCCAATTATCAGGCTGGCTGGATGGAGAGCAGGGATGGTGGCCGGAGAAGACTCTGGTTGTCTTCTCCGACGAAGGTCAAGTTACAGTCAACCAAAAATCACAAAGTCTATACCAATTCCACTCAGTTTCTCACGAGGATTTCAAATCTCCAACTCAAATTATCCAACTCTCAATGGATTTTAAAACACGAAGCAATATTCATAAATAACATCCAGATCAAACATCATCAATTGTCAAATTAAGACCATAGAAATCATCCTTATGCTACACTGATCATCCTGATCTAATCAACTTGCTCTAACTACTCATGAATCAAGATATTCGAATCCAAACATAATTGCTATGTCAAGATCAACCATCACCAAATACTTTCAAACTGATCTTAAAACGATCTACATTGCACCTAGATCCTAACCACAAGTTCAAATCTAACTATCTCATGCTAATTCATGTAGAATCTTGAAAGTTACTAACCTGTTGTAGATCTAGTAACAGAGGCACTTGGAGCTTGATTCTTCCTTCAAAACTCTCCAGATACGTTCACTGATGCAAGAGGATGATGCTTCAATCTTCAATTTGCTTTAATATTGCTCCAAACTGAAAACTCGATTTCACTTGCTCCTCTTGAATTTTCAACTGCAACTTCAGCTTCTGGCACAAAAATGACTCCAAAATTTATCTGGAATTACTCCAATGAATATATAGAACCTTTCCATGGACTTTTGAATTCAATTTGAGGCCCAATCTAGCCAATTGCATTTTCTGTTTTTCTCTTGAAATCCCATGTAGCAGTCACGAGTTCAGGCTGTGTAACTTTCTCTAGAAGGTCCCAATCAACTGCAAATTACCTTGTGAGCGAAATTGAAACAATAAAATGGCCTGAATTGCATTGTTGAAGTGTTTGGTTATGTAACTTTCATTTGAAGCAACCATATGACAACTCATGAAAATTGACCTAAACCCAAAAATCCACCAATTTCATTGTGTCTAAAATGAAGTTTACAATCAAAATGATCACTCATTTGACATGCTTTGGTCACTTAACCAATTATTTGAATTTTCCCCCTTTTAATCCTTTGAAAATCTTCCTTATTCAAACCATTTCGAACCAAGTCTTGCTATGAGCCCAATAAATCCATCATGACCTCTTGGTTAGCCTAAAACCTACATTTTGAACAACTTTCATGTTGAACAAAAATCCATTTGACAAGTGCAAGTTAGAGATTTTGACTTATGATTGAAAATGATCTATAATCTCACTTTCTCAAAATACCCCTGACTTGTAAACCTCATAACTTGAGTTCTACAAATCAGATGGAAGACTTCTAGTAAAATTTAGAAATCTAATATCATGAGGAACAACTTTCATGTTGGCCAAAAGTTCAGGTGAAACAACCTTCTAGGTCAAAAATAGCTTTGAAGTCATATGATTTTCACAGACAAATTTCAGAGGCATCTGAGGACTTGTAACTTGTCTGGGCCATAACTTGAGTTCTATAAATCCCCTTGAGGACTTATAGTACTAAAATTAAAGGTATTGAGATGCTCTACAAGTTTCATATTGGATAAAGATCCATTTGAAACTTGTATCTTGACTTAGGTGGTCTTGAAGTTAGGCACTAAACAAGGAATTTTGCACTGAAACCCTAATTTAGCAACTTCCCACACTCTTGACTCTTCTTGATTTGATCTTGGCACAACACCACAAATGTCTCAACATATCATTTCATGAACTCCATGACCTAAAAGTAGGCTTTGATACTCTTCAATTGCACAGTTGACCTAGGATTGACCCAGATGAAACCCGAATTGCTTGCACCTCAACTGTGGCTCTTGTGTCTAACACAATGACTTGATAGAGCTCTCCCCTGGCCCTCTAGGAATTCTATGAGCTTCATACACATCCTCTTCTCACATTCAACACTTCACAACCCTCTGATGGTCTTCAGTTGATCCTCAAGTTAGGAGAAGATTCACACTCAAACATCTAAACCCTTAGGCCCTCAAATCACCTCCTGATGACTTGGATAACTTCTCAATCTTGAATGAGACCTCTTGCTAGGATTCTCTTGATAAGAATCACACTTGATCCCCTGCTATATGAATGATATCATGATATGCAAATGATATAACTATGCAAATGTTAATGCAAATGAAACATAAACCAGGTAAGACAAGGTTGAGCAAATTTTGGGGTACAACAGCCTCTAGGGCTTACACCAACATTTTTGACCCCATTAATTCTAGCCAATACTATTTCTTCTTCCTCAGAACCTGATCAAAAGAATTTTCTTTCTATCTACTGATGTCCACCTTAATTCTATTCAACTTCTCTCGCATACAGACATTTTTCCTCCAAGCTTTCCTCATCATATCCTGATAAGAGTCATCCACTAACCATGCATTTTCAGATGTAAACTTCCCATGGGTTAAATTATGAACTCTCACGAAAGGTATGATAAGGATTGGATGGTGATCTGAAAAGTCAACCTTGGGTAAAACTTTAACAAGAGCATCAGGAAACATCTCTCTCCAAGCATTATATATTAATCATGGCTCTATCCAACTTCTCGTAAATACGCTGACCTCCATTATAGATTGGATCCTTCCATGTAAACTTTGGACCAGAAGAGCCAAGATCCATAAGCTTACATGCATCCTCTCTATCTCTAAATAAATTACACTTTCTAGATGAGGCAGTAACTCCACCATTCTTTTCATCAGGTCGCATAATGTCATTAAAGTCATCTGCTATTAACCATGGGTCCTTCATGTTATCTGATATTCCTTTAAGATCTTCTCAAAGAGAACTTCTAATTCCATCATTAGGGCTAGCATATACGGTAGTAAGAAACCAACTACTACATACTTGGTTAATAATCATTCAAATTTTTTGGTCATCTCACTTCATATTCATGAGTAAGAGTGTATTTAAATATAAATTATTTTATTTTTTTATTGACTTTTAATCATAATTAATTTTATAAAATAAAATCTTTCAACTTTAAATTATATAACCCCTAACCTAACATGCACATAATAACATTATTTATATTAATAAATAAAAGAATGGATCCAAAAAAAATTTTGTATTGATTTGGTTGTATATATTCTTGTGTCGAGTTTGAATTTGGAATTTAAGTTGAATATGGGAAATTGAGATTAATTATTCTATGTCAAGGTGCCGATGCCGAATGCCGAGCTTATAAAATTTCATTGATGAATGTCCATGCCAAGGTGTTCAATTGTTGTATGAGACTTATTTAATCTCATAAATTTCATTTGGTTGTATGTGTTGTATTATTTTTCAAAAGAAGATCATGAATGTTTTCTGATGATGGGTTATCTATGCGCGTCATTTAGCAAGAACAATCGTCGAATTCTGACAAGAATTGAGCAAGTTAGAAGAATTTAATTGAAAATGATGAAAAAAGCGCTTTTTGGTGAAGAAAGAGACTTAGTGAGAAAATTGCTAAAAAAAGGATCAAAAACACATTGAAGCCCCTGGAGTTTACACAACCATAATACACACACACACACACTCACACTCAAACACACTCACACACACACACACACACACACACACACACACACACACACACACACACACACACACACACACACACACACACACACACATATATATATATATATATATATATATATATATATATATATATATATATATATATATATGTGTGTGTGTGTGTGTGTGTGTGTGTGTGTGTGTGTGTGTGTGTGTGTGTGTGTGTGTGTGTGAGTGTGTGTGTGTGTGTGTGTGTGTGTGTGTGTGTGTGTGTGTGTGTGTGTGAGTGTGTGTGTGTGTGTGTGTGTGTGTGTGTGTATGGAGAGAGACACGCGCACGCGCGCACACACACGACACACACACACACACAATATATATATATATATATATATATATATATATATATATATATATATATATATATATATATATATATATATATATATATATATATAGACACACCACACATGCACACGCACACATACACACACGCGCACACACACACACACACACACACACACACACACACACACACACACACATATATATACACACACACACACACACACACACACACACACACATATATATACACACACACACACACACACACACACACACACATATATATATATATATATATATATATATATATATATACACACACACACACACACACACACACACACACACACACACACACACACACACACACACACACACACACACATATATATATATATATATATATATATATATATATATATATATATATATATATATATATATATATATATATATATATATATATATATATATATATATATATATATATATATATATATATATATATATATATATATATATATATATATATATATATATATATATAGTGAGGATCCACTTAATCCAAGAGTAAGTTTTTATAACCTACTCAACAATCGTTAAATTAGATTTAATCGAATGGTTATAAGTAAAAATGCTAATTTAACCACTATATTAGATTCAATTTAAAGGTTACGATGTGGAGTAAGTTAAAAAAACTTACTCTTGGAGTAAGTTGATCCCCACTCATATATATGTGCGTGTGTGTGTATGTGTGTGTGTGTGTGTGCGTGTGCGTGTGTGTGTATGTGTGTGTGTGTGTGTGTGTGTGTGTGTGTGTGTGTGTGTGTGTGTGTGTGTGTGTGTGTGTGTTGTGTGTGTGTGTGCGTGTGTATGTGTGTGTATATATATCTGTGTGTGTGTGTATAGGATCTAGAGTGATCAGAATGGATCATCTTGACCTTCAATGTAGGGCAGTAACAGTGGTTGTAAAAGAGGAGGGCGTGTACCTACAAGGTACTCCGATGTCAAAGTAAGTTTTTGGGTTAGAGAGAAAGCAAGTATGAGATTTCCCCAAGCGCGGGGCCAAGGTCTCCTGTGTGGCCAAAATACTTGGCTGACCAATGGGAGACTTCCAGGTGGAAGATCTAGCGCATGATCTTTGACCTGGCCCAACTATTCCCGTGAATTTTGAAGGGGCAGTTGGTCGCGTGAATTGTCAAGCGCGTGAGAGGGATGTCCTCGATGGCTATAATCTTCAACGGCTATATTGTACACAACGCCTATATTATGCCCAACGATTATATGGTGCCCAATCTCCTTATTGGGCCTGACCTTAAGCTAAACTGGGTTGGGGCTTATCCAATTGTGGGGCATGTGTCAGTCCAGTCCAGAACAGGAGCCTCCATTTTGTTGCTTCGATGTGAGGAGTAATGACTTGAGTTAGCCTAGCTAGTCAACGAAGAGGCAAAAACCATATTGCGGGTAAGTATTTGAGGCCGTTATCATTTGGACAAAAAACTTTGAGGACACACAAGTGTAGTATGTGATTAGCATGACCGACTGTTGATTGCGCGTAGCCTCCTTGGAGGTGCACAAGTGTGGTCGGATATAAAAAATGCATTTTACGTCGGCCAGTTTTTTTTCTTAGGGTGTAGAGAATGTCGACGAGCCTCCTACTTGGATGCCATTTGGTGACATTGTCGAGGAGAATGTGCCCCGCGGGGAGCTGAAGGGACTTGTCTTTTCATAAACATGTGAAGGGTCAGTTTTGAAAGTGCCAACTCACAGCTTTTTTTTTGCCACGTGTGAAGGCGCAATAAATTTTGTTAAGGCCTAGGAGGTCTAGGAGGCTAGGCAATGGTGGATTTTTGCTCTTTACGCTTCCCCATGTGAGAAAAAGAGCTTATAGGAGAAGAGGATTCATTTTCACTTCACAAAAATTTCTCTCCTCTTTATCTTTTGCTCTGCAACAAACGTCCGTCACCAGAGCCTTCTTCTTCACCGTTAGTTGCTCTTGCCTTTTCCAAGATCTTCATCTTCATCCTCTTTATCCAAGTAAGTTTTTCAACCTTGCTGTTAGAATATATGAATTTCTGGAATTTTAGCTTGAGTTTATCGGCGATGCATGAATTTTTCGGTTGAAGTTTGTGTGTTTCTAGATGAACACATGAATTTCCTGGGAAATTCATGAAGGCCTTGAAGAACATAAATCTAGGATGTTGTACGTCTGTAGATCTTTCCTAGGTTGTTGTGTGAAATGTTTCATGTTTTTTTCCAGGCAGAAGGTATCCTCGACGCTGAGAGTTTCGTTCTTAGGTGTTTGACACATCATAGTAGTCGCAGGGCTTATCCTCTTAGGGTCTTTACAAGTCGCGGGGACTTGCTCTTGTTTTTTGGGGGAGGGTTTTTGTCGAGACCCTTTGTTGTTGATAAGGGCGTGAGTTGAGGAGACATCCTCGCACTTGATCCTCCTCTTTTCACTTTATTTGTGGTGGAAGGGTGGATTTGATCTTCGTTGAATTCACTTTTACTTCCTCTGATTTTTAGTTTAAATGGCTGATCGAAACGAGGGAACCGTCCTTGACGTTGAGGCAACTACTAACAAGGACGCGCCTCTCGCTGAATATGCCAATGTGTGGGTCGTTGTTGGGGATCTTAGTTGGATCGCCTAGGAGCCTCTCATGACGAAGTCGACATTTACCAAGGAGGAGGGCAGTAATTTTGATCTCCTCGAAGATAGGGCCGAAGATGCATCCATGAGTTAGAAGGCGATTAGTCCGACAGAGAATGCCCATATATGCTCGGTGTATCCATAGAGGAGATTCCTAATGTATGAGTTTTCTTTTAGGGAGGCAGGGTATCGCCTGCCCTTCACGGATTTCCAAGGGGCGATATTTTGTCGTCTTGAATTGTGTCCTGCCCAACTTCACCCGAATTCTATGGTGTTCATTCGGGATTTTGAGCTGGTATGCCCTTATCTTAGAATTGGGGCTACCGTGGAACTTTTCTTCTGCATCTTTTAGCTATAGAGGAACACCGCTGAGTCAAAGTAGAGTTGGGTGTCTTTTAAACAGCAGAGCAGACTGTTTTGGCCCTATTCAGAGTCTGTCCGAAATTTCAAGTTCAAGTTTCTGGTTGTAAAGCCCCTTCCAGAGGTAGCTAAAAGTTCCCTGGTTACCATGGAGACGATAAAGGAGGGTGGTCAGGACGTGGTACGACCTGTGTCAAATTTTCCCTTGGAGTGGGTGTACGCCCATTTCTGGTATAAAACCGACTAATTCCTCATGAAATACGATCAATTGTGCTTCGAGGATAAGAAATCTCTTCGAGCATTGACAGCGTTCGTGGAGACTTTCATCCCCGTCACTATGGTGGACAAGGATGGTAACCTGCTCTGCGTTGAGGACGGGGAGCCTGCTCGAACGTCCCGTTACATAAATACCAAAGCCCTCATTGAATGCAAAATTGAGGCCGAGGCTTTTGAGATTCTACGTATAGATGTTGTGTTTAACTTGTGCTTCTAGATGTTTTAATAAAGTGATAACTCTTTTTTATTCTTTGCAGGAAAGATGTCGAACTTGCGTGAGTGCCTGGCCAAGTCTGTCGTGACCAAGAATGTCAAAAAGGTTTCGACTGCGAGGGTAGACATGATCAGACAGCAAGCGACTCTGGAAAAGTTTGTTGGCGGTCTTTCACCTTCTCCAGGTAGCACCTCCAATCCTCCTACCCTGGATCCTCAAAAGAAGAGGAGGCAGGACGATCTCGTTTCCTCTTCAGCTGAAGGCTCAGGTGGTTTTGTTAGGGGAAAATTCACCCTGCTCCTCTGTTATCTGCTGTCGCAACTATGAAAAACACCCGGTAGAAAAACAGAAGAGACGCTACCGAACGTTATTTATCCCAAAGATAGGGAAAGGAAACGA